TCGACTGTACTTTTATTTTCCAATCACTTACTATATTCCCTAAAAGCCTAGGTCAAAATTCACACAGCATGTTTGTCTCTTCTGCAGCTGTGCATGGGTAAAATGGGAAATGTTTGGTTTATTTTATTATAAATTTATTTATTTTATAAAGATAACTGTTCTTTGCCCTTCTTTAAGGTGTTGCATTCTAGAATATAAAGCCTTCCATATTTTATGGAGGATAAATAATTTCAACAATTGGCCTGACAATGAATTGTAGTATATAGTGGTCAAATAAATGTGTTAAGAATTTTAAGGTTTTTTAGTGATTCACTCTGGTATATACTTTTTTTTTTTTTTTACTTCAGGAAAGCACTTTGGATCAATTATTTTTCTTCATAAGAACTGTTTTCCCTATTTCTACTGTAAGAAATAGATGAACCTGGGGATAGACCTGTTTTCCTTATTTCTACTAAAAAAGTGGGATAGACTGAGACATATAGAAAGTTAGGTTTGGCTACTGCTTTTGCAATTTCAGCAGCTGCTGGAGCACAAATGCAGGTAGGGTAGATATTATAAATTCTTTTCTTGGGTTTTTTTTTAGGATGAGTCTTTTGATATAAACCTGTAAGTTTGCATGAACACTGTTGAGTTATTTGATCTTGTTTAAATAGTGTTTTGATCCAGAATTTACCTGCACCACTTTATAACTATAGCGTTTGTTTGTATCTATTTTCATGGAGTATTCTCTGCCTGTGAGAAATTACTATGGTGCATAAACATTCTCTGTAACAGAATGCATAATGCAGTGTACAGTTTAAGGAAGTTAACTGATGGTTTCAATCACAGAGCTAAGTGATTATATATTTGCATTTTTAATTTCAGTATGTCTTGGGGAAATAATTTTGCTGGAAAAGAAATCAATATTGACTTTTAGAACACTAGTTTGTTGCCCTTCTTCCCTTATACATGCAGTAGTATTTTTGTTGTATTTGGGATTTTTTGGGCTTGGTTTTTGGTTTGTTTGGTTTTTGGTTTGTTTTCTTTTTTACGTGTAGATTTGTGTTTTATCAGTGGTACTAAATCTCTCACCTAGTCAGTCACCCTGTTTGCTGCTTGTCTAAAAACCTAAGTAGACAGTATTTAATTTTCTAACAGGAATATTGTCTAAACCCAAGCTTTTTAAGCAATGGCATTTAACAGATACTTGAATGCATTTTAATGTCAACTCAGCCATCTCTGTCATGTGATTTAAGCTGGGGAGAAAAAAGCTTTTAAATTGTTTTTGAGTTGGAAGAGTGAGATATCTTAAACAAAGTTAAATTTTAACTCATTGAACTGGAGGCATAAGAGGTGGAACTGAACAATCCATAATGGTGCATACCATCATGATATTCTAGAATATAATCAGGTCTTAGTATAATGTCATGTTTCTCTGCTTTGAAGAATATATTCTTGGATTGCCTCATGAGTCTTATGCACAATACTTGGGCTGTTTTTTCAAAGTCTGTTTTAGAAAATGAAAATAGAAAGGACCATATCCCACAACCTGTGCAAATATCCACTGTGGCTGAAATGAATTCAGCTCTTAAGGTGAATCATCTTTAGTAAGAAGCATAAAATTCTGAGGCCCCTCCATGTTCTGAATGTGGACCAACTTTCATAGATTCCTTTTCACTACACTGTATTCATAATAACAGGAGAGCATTAGAAAAAAATAAAACCCTTATCTTAATCCCTGGATTGGTACTGTACTGTTAGCATGAAGTCCCTATTAGTCTCCTTTCTTGTACTGATTTATTTAAATCCAACTTGAATTTGGATAAATGTAATGGTTTCACCTATGCCGAAGTTCCTATTAATGAATATACTTGCTTCTGAATGTTCTCTGCATCATGAAGTTAAAAGCAATTTAAATATCCTGTGTAATAGGGGCTCTAAAATTTCATACCAGTGGACATGCTGGCATTGAAAAATTTGTGTGGAAAGTTATTAAAAGTTTTCCAGATAAAGGCCACCATTTTCTGTTGAGATCAGGCATTATTCTTCTAGCAGCTGTATATCAAGATTGTCCTTTTCATAGTCTTTTAAACTTAACTTGATGGTTGTATCTAGGAACTCTCTTATGGATTAGTTTTAAATCTAAATATAATAAATTCTCTTGGTATCTCCTGGTTAGGAATCCTGGGGACATCGTCCTCACAATGTAACTTAAATTGGAGATTGCATAATAACATAATATTACCAGAATATATTAGGGGAAATAACCATTAGGAATAAAACTGGAATTTGGGAGGTAGATTTTTTTTTCATGAATGTTTAAAGGCTTTTTGAGAAAATACATTTGATGTTCTATGTATAGGGATGGGTTGAATGTACAGATTTAAACCTCCTAATTAAAATTCAAGGTTCAGTTACTTGTGAATTGTTTAAAGCAGAAATCTCTGACACTTTGCAGCCCAAAAGGGAGGGAGAAGTTTGGGTTTAGCTTTGGCAACAGAAGGATGATATTTGTTAAAATATTTTGTACCTAATGAAAAGTAGAATTTACAGTATCTTTTTAATTTTGGGGAGTATGGCACCCACTTACGTTGTCATTTTGTAGTATTGTGGCAAATTGAGTACAGAGTATGAAGTTTAAACACTGGAATGTCAGTAGTCATTGATCTGTAATTTAGGAGTTGGTTGTATTTATCTGAGAGATGTTTGTATATTTTGTAAATTACTAACAATGCTCTGCCATCCTGGTGAATGTCATGGTTCTGTACAAATGCACTTCTTCTGTCCCTCTGTTGCATGTCTGAGTAGTCCATAAGTTTTTGTATATTTATTGTATTAACATAATGTCATAGAATAAAAAAATACTTTTTTCCTGGGTGCTTGCTCTGTATAGTTTTGACCAATATAGGGATTTTTCTTCTCTAACAGTCAGGATTACGTGCAGAGCAGATGATCTGTGTAAAAGTCTCACTTGTTTTTTATAATTCTGTATATAAATGCTGTAATTCTGCTGAAATGGGGAATCAAAATGTCCACTTTCAAAATAATACATGAGGGTATTGAGAATTAGTCTGCTCAACTGTTATGAAGAAAATTCCTAAACACTTGCAGCTCACTTTCTTGTGCTGTAAACTCATGAGAGTTAAAATCTAAACATATTCTGTCATTACTGAATTAAATTCTACAGGTATTAAGTGAATCCTAAATTCACTTTGGAATCCTAATTTCACTTATTGAAAGTAAAAAGAAGTTGCTGAAAACAGCATTGCTTTGGTAGTGTTTATTTTCCTAATTTCTGCCTATGAATTGACATTTCTGAATCACTGCTGTTGTCTTCCTTTTTTTTTAGGCACTGTCATAGTCTGTTGATTTTTTTTCATATAATACCAAATGTAACACCCACTCTCTATTACTGAACTTATTACTGGGTTTTCTTTGAAGGGCAAAACAGCTTCATCTAGAGCACTGTGACATAGTTACGTTTGCAAATACACAATACGGAGAGTGGAGCTCTGAGGTACAGTCAGGATTATTTTGGGAGACAGCAGAGGTGATGCATGTATGCATCATTTAGGAGTGAAATTCTTCAACAACTCGATCTGTTTTTTTGTAATTAACAAATCTAGGATGGCAGTGGCAGCAGACTAAAGGTTTTGTACTTTCTTGTAAACGTAAGCCCAATTGTGCAGCATGATCCAGTCATGCTTTGTGATTAGATGGTGGTGTGGGGAGATTCCTCTGGTTTGCTGAGGCTGGTTTTCCTCAAGAAGCTGTAAGCATGAAGTTGGGAAGGCATAAGCTCACAGAGAAAACAGCACAGGAAAGAAAACTGTGATTAAAAATACTCAGTGACACTTCTGGAAAGATATTTTTCTCAAGGAAAAGGCATGCACCTAGAGCATTCTGGTTAAGAATCAGTAGTAAGGCACAGTGGATCAGATTATTAAAACAAAGGTGTGTTAGGTTTCACTCAGTTATATTAAAATGGGTAGAAATTAGTTTGTACTTTTTTCCCACAAATTTATTTTATGTCTGGAAGTAGCTTTTATTTGCATCAGTAAAAAAATCAGGAATACTTACAAAATAAGTGGTGCAGATTTTTTACCTCGGTGTCAGAATACTAATTAAACTTTATGCTAGGATTAAACTAGATACCATGTCACTCACTACTGAGGGAAAAGAAAATGTGTTGATGGAACTTGTGGATCATGCTGCCATACATTTTGTTCTGGAGAAAAAGACATTAATTGTACAGCTGTTTAATGGAAGCTTATACATCTCATCTAAAATGTGCTTTTTGATGGATAAATGGATAGTGCTTACATCAAACAACACTGCTTTCAATTTGTTTGTTTTACCGTGTCTCAATATACTTGGTGCCGTCTTAAACACACACTAAGTAATGTGTGTGTGTGTGTATGTATATATATACACACACATACATATAAAAATCTATACCGTCCTGCTTCAGTGAGTGTTCCTACACGTTTAAACTGTTAACGTCACTGTGACAGTTTAACTTGGCTGGCAGCCAAACAAGACACAGCCACTTGCAACTTCCCCATTTTCCTCCCCAACCCAGGGAATCAGGGAGGGGTAAAGGGCAGGAGACTTGTAAGTGGAAATAAGAACAATTTAATAAGTGGAGTAAAAATAAAATTAAAATAATAAGAGTAATAACGATAATAAAAATATATATATATAGGAGTGATGCAGAGTACAGTTGCTCACCACCTGCTGATAACGATCCCAGAGGAACAAAAAGGAACCCCGAACCTGAAATCGCAATCCCGGAAAAGCGAGCCCGAGCAATTCCTGAGAGAATCCCCCCCTTTCCAGTCAGCCCTGGTTCATATACTGAACATGATGTAATATTATCTGGAATATCTTATTGTCACATCCAACTGTCAGTTCTGGGTTCCACTAACTGCTGCACTTTCCTTCTTCATCCCCCTTCCTTCCAGTCCTCTCTTCTGGGAAACTGCCCA